CGAGAAACTCACGATTATTTACGATCGTTTACGATGGGTCGCGAAGTCTTCACGAATGAAAAAAGGTAGGGAGGGGAGGACACGATACCTGGTGCACACATCGATCCATCACGTGACCAGTGTTTCATACCTTGTCACAGACTAGTTTGTATCCCGCGAGGCGCGCGATAGTGACGTAATACCACAGGTAACCCACAGCGCACGCCGATTCGATAACATAATATAAAAGCGTGCGCATTCATTCTTTTCTTTCCTTCAAGCAATAGTTGGGTAGCCTATGCGTAGGGCCGAAATACGGGTCATATGATAAAATACCTTTTTTTACTTGAACTATATAGAGAAACCGCGAATGTGTTATTTTCACTAGTGAACTTTACGAAATAGAGAAATATAGGTATTTCATAGATAGTTATATGATAAAATGATTTATTACAAGGTTTTGAGGGTAATAGTATAATAACACAGCGTAAAAGAGTCTATTTGAATGTTTTGCTTCATTAACACTCCTTTCTTTGTTCAAAGCTTACTTTGTTTGATTAGACAGTCATTTGTTTTGCAGTTAGAGGCTCCTACATCCTTAAAAAAAAAATTTGAAAACAACTTAAATTAAGTCAAATTGCAACTGTATATACGATCATTTGGATTATGCACATGTAGTCTGTTATGCACCCTTAAAAAATTTCGAATTTGAGTCATTAATCAAATGCACTTACCACCATTTCATGGTACTCTGAACCCAGCMTAGGTACCAGGCCACYAGCTGCACCCATGGTTGAGTTGTTCAAATCGCATTCATAAAACACGTCGAATAATTGACGGACATTRATTGAGAAGCACCATGGTAACTGAACACACKYTTCCCAGCACAAYACAAYCAAACTTTTAGTCATTGTAAGAATAACGTGATTGGGTAGTTCCATTCGTCGGGTTTCTGCAAATCTATACGCAGTGCATGATGGTTCAGAGAGAGACTGGTGCGAAGTGATGGACAATAACACCATAGTGAAAATATCGACTGTCTTAACCATCATGACGAGTGTTCTGAAGAACACTATCCTGCATATTTAATCAAAATAATGGATGAGTTCTATGTGCAACACATGATGGAACTCGCCCGTTCAAGGAGAGAATGAAATGACAAAAAAAGGCTACAATTACTAAATCTGAACAAAGACCGATTAGAACATTTACTTTTATAATGTTTTTTTATACGCGACTGAAAGAAGGCACATGACCAATAAACATCTGCTGACGACCTTCTATATATCGCATGTTTTTTAACCTGCCTTGCTTTTGCGGTGTATGGGACTGTCCGCGGTTTCTATACAATCTTTGGTGAAATATTTGAGTCTTTGAGGGCTGGGTCTTTGTGAGTCGTTTGTAGTGGTCTGAATTTTCTTCAGTACCTTATATAGTCAGTGTATAGTAGTATGGATCGTTAGCGGTACTGTGAGTCTGAAAAAGACCGTAAACGACGAGGGTTTTATAGGAAATCAGGTCGTTCCTTTTAGCTTCTTCTGGTGAAATCATACTGAGGTTTCAGAGGCGATAGAGGTGGATTTGTTAATTGATATCTAGCATTTTATGCCAAGTACAGGTATGATTGGTGGTCAAGCCTCTGATACGATCACTCCGAGTTTCGCCATCACCCCAAGATTTTTCTATAATACATTCATTTTTGTGCATACAATATACACTCATTTTACAGGGAAAAAAAATTAAAAAAAGTTTTATTGCCAAACAAATTGATGAAAAATACTTTACATTACCTCTCGTTTCTGACAAACAGTTGAAAGCTCTCACGCAAGATGTGATAATTTGATTCGAAACAGTGTTTTTCCACTTTATATAAATATTCTTTCATTCCGCTCATTAAATCCTTGTTTTCATTACGGTATAAGAATAAGAGGTGAAAAACAAAAACTATGTGATTAGAAGGGGTTAAGAAACGATTAAGATGCCGTTTTCTTTGTTTGTTGTTTTATCTTTAATCGGTATTCTTTGTCTTATGCTTGTTGCTATGCTTATGCCGCACGCTTAATACTTCATTCCTTAATCTTTTCTCTTGTAATCGGCTTACATGTCTATGCGTATGTTCTAATGAAAACCTGGATTAGCGGACAGACACATCGATTCAAGTAAAAATGCATTGCCTTTACCGCGAAGAGACGTCAAATAAACGTAAGAACTCATCAACAAGAACTGAACTTTCATTATTTAAAAAATCTAGAATTGAGCTGCATAATGATCTTTATTGAATTTCTCATTGGGAGTAGGCAAGACAGATTTTGTAGCAATCTAAAGCTGTTTTAATGATGATTTAATTGAATAACTTAAAAACCTTAAGCTTTATTCTTAATTGCAACTTTGAGAGTTAGAACACTTTGTGTTCCCATTGCAATAGACACTTGATGTCCAAGTTGGGAATCCTTGATGAAATAGCTGTGATGTTGACTTGCTTTTTCCAATGCCATATTWTTGAACCAGCTCTTGAGATTGGCTTCGTTTAATTCATTTTTATTGTCCGGCTTTTCAACCTAAAGGAAAAAAAAAAACGATTTTTTACCCACGACTTTTTATATGCTATTTATCATATATTTTTTCCGAGCCTTCGAATATAGCGCTATGAGAACCGAGACGTTTCTTTGGGAGAATTCGAGAGCAGATCAGTGAGGCACGAGACCGCAAAATACTCTAACCAAATTTCTCAACTTCTCCATAGAAAAATGAAAATTGCTTTTGACACATTATTTYATAATTATAAAGATCTAAGATCTTTTAAGCGTATTACGTTTCTTGTTCTTTTAATTTGAATTTAGCTTTGTTTATCCAAGTTATCTAATGCACTCAAAAACTTCAAGAAAGAAGATGAAATACATGCAGAATATTTCTTAACCAGTTGTTTTTACGTTTTCGGATAATATTTAGGCTAAATATAGCTGATTTTTTCCTATTCTTGTTCTAGTTTTGAAATTCGCTCTTGAAAAACTGGTGTCGTCAAAACCTTATTTCATACTGCAATGAAAACACAGTACTCGTCCAATCATAACGCGCGAGGTATCTAAAAGTCATGTTATAATTTTATTTACATTTAACTGCAAGAACGTTATCATGTTCAATCTTCTAAGTTGCATAAACTTGTTCCGCGCTCTAGATATACTGTGTCTCTGCCTTGTTCTGTTTACATGAGGTAGKGCGTTTCATAAAACAATCAGTTAGCCCTACCAAACTACCATACGTAAACAGGGYCTTTGCGATTTTTTTTACCTAAGTCAGTTTTTTTGATTATATTTAATTTTAAGTTTTTAATTTCCTAAAAAAAATTAATTAAGCCAGCATTTTAATCCTTTGCTGCTGAAATAATTATCATTATACAAAATGACTCAAACGAGWTTATCAACCTACATGTAATCTGAAAAACTCACTAACTAATGCATTTTCTTCTCATTAGCATCTATTTTTCATATCTCATAAAGACACGTTGTGTTTAATTGCTCTATCATCATGTACATACCGATACTGCGAATGAAATATCTTCGTAAATACCAAACTGCGGTACTCGCCATTTAATTAGTAAAATGCCACTCAATTTTCCATTGGTAAATATGTTGTAGGCTAGCAATCCTTCAGTTCCTTGATTCCCACCTAATAATACRTAGCAATGACAACGACCATCACTTATAGCAAACAGGGTATTTTTACTGAATGTCAGTTCTCAGGCYTGTGGGATTTTTTCAGTTCATTCAAGGTTATTAATGTAGTATGCTAACAAGTTTAGACAATAGGTTATTCGAGCTTCTTGCTCTCTTATACTGGGGGCCCTTGGGGGACAATTTTTGATTTTTGTTTCCGTCAAACATATTTAAGGATCATTAAACTGTCCTTAGAAGACATAAAAAAAATCCTTAAATGCACTTTTTGAAAACTCCTGTTCAAACCTGGATTGCACGTTTCCAAAGGACAAATATCGGTAAGGACCCAAGATTGAACTCAMCGTGAAAGTAATATATAGGCATAACTGCTGGGTTTTTTTTAACTTTCAATGGTTGTACGTTCAAAGAATGAAATCACTTTCATAACAAATTCTGATACAATAATTATATTATTTGACATTGTTATAAGAACTAAATCTGTAGACGTCCTTCTACTTACTGAAAGTCAAGTCAGCTTATTAATTACGATGACTAGTTTCTCCTTACCTGGAGTTTTGTCGAATTGCATCTCATCCAATCCATTCTTGATGACTGGTGGGGGAAGTCTCGATATGAAACCGTGTAACAAATACCAACTAGGAGTTTGTAGTTCGGTCRTGTCCGAAAAGTCATTCCGTATTTGCAGTTTGAGTGTTGTATCTTTTTGTATAGCAGACCAAAAAGATGCTATCAGAGGTCCCACTGTAAGAAGAGAAGCTGAAACAGGGTCCATGACTCTTTTGTCGGCTGAAAAAAGAAAATGGTTTATGAATAAAGAAAAGGAAATTATATTACGATGAAGAAACATTTCAAGTAAAACYATAGGCCGCCCAACCATTGCTTGAGAGAGAGAAAACGAATGAGCCGACTGTTATATTGTCTGCGCGCGCTATTAGCAAAATGCGGATTACCTGTGTTATTACGTCACGGTCCCGTTCCTCGCGGCTCTACAGTTGTCTGTGACAAGGTATGAAACACTGGTCACGTGATGGATCGATGTGTGCACCAGGTAAATGGGACAGTGTTCGGGAAACGAAGATTCRACGGGTAGGCGAACTWTCACCGAAGGTAGGGCGGAAAATATGGCATTTCATAATTTTTCGTAAGAAAAGTACGCAGCRGTGCGAAGATATACTTTCGAGTTTTTAGCACAATTTATTTTCTAAAAAAGTCCAATAGTTCACCTCACCGAAAAAACCGAACGTATACTGCCCAAGAATTACGTCCCGAAGTAAGTCAAATAAGTTTTAAAAAAGCTTTCGCCGGACGCCTGCATCACCAGGTCATGAAAATCTCAAACAACAGTAAAACTAGTAGAATTTGCATTTTGAATCGAAAGACCTTTTCTTCTGACCTTACACCTAGTTATTATTTCGCAATGAACTATTATACGCGCCATTTACTCGGCCCCGTATGCTACTTTTACTAGTTTTACTGTTGTTTTAGACTTCGTGATCTGATGATGCCGGAATTTGGCGAAAGCTTGTCAAAACTTAATTGATTTTCGACATTTGTGTACGACGGCCCCTGGGGCCATATATTTGCTATACGGGGACGTGCCGCTGGCCAGGGTATGGTTTTTGGCCTTGCTGTCTTAAACAGGGTATACATTTCACCCGAAATTGTCTTAAACAGGCTCGACAATTTAGATAAAAGACCGATATATTTTTTTGTGTGTCTTAGACAGGGTAATATTTTCATAAGAAATACCGTAGAAATAATAAAAATACCGTTTCACTGTCCCAGGATTAACGTGTTATCAAAAATTTCTTATTGTCTTTGATGGATGTCAGTATAATTGCACTTTTGATGGTTGCGGCGCAGATTGCTATTCCTTATTTTTCCGATTTGTCTTGAACAGGGTATGGATTTTCACTTTCTAGTGTCTTAAACAGGGTCAGGGATTTAGACCGCTGGCGGCACGTACCTATCCAAAATGGGGTCGAGTACCCCCCC